CGCTTGATGGATGAATCCTGTTCACCATCTTCAGCGAACTGAATTGTCCAATAGTTTTATCGATGTATCCATATGTTATATTGATAAGTAGTTCTCCATTACTTCCTTTTTGATAAATCATCTTTGAAAAAATTTCTCACACGCTTGTAGTAAAATTACCATGCGAGTGTTGTTTAAATCTCTGTTGTGTATTTCAGAGATTTAAAGGAAGTTGTTTGTGAAATAGTCAATAGTTGACTTTTGACCTCGGTTGTTACCAAACGTGAATTTGTGTTGAGCTTTATGGTTGGAAGTAGGTGTCATTAATTCTGAGTTATATGCGTTGCATGACTTAACAGTTCGAGTTGTTAAATACTTTATAGATGCTTCTTTCTTCTTTATACACTGTTATTTTTCTTGAATCCTTGGGTCTTCTGTTTCTCAATTATATTATTATTATATTATTTCTAATTTCTTATCACAGTGTGATGACAATCTGTATATTGCACTTTTAGAAAATGTTTTATCCCTTGAAATGAAAAATTGAACTGTTGTTTGTTACAATGGACAGAACTTTCTTGGTAGACCTAATATATTCATGCATACGAGGCACGAAAAGTAGTAAAATAATAGCAATCGGTTTTTAATAAGTTAAAACAAAAACAAACGCGGCATAAGTTGAAAATTTCACCACCCCTTGTACTTGGGCAACAGAATATATAATATTATAAAAAATGATATGATTAAATAAAAAGAAGAAAAAAATAGCCTAAGAAAAGAAGAGAACTAAAGAAGTAAAGAAGTAAAGAAGTAAATAAAAGAAAAAAGACAAAGACAATAACCGGTAATACGTTCAAGTGTACAGGGATTATTCTCTCTCTCTCTCTCTCTCTCTTTCTCTCTTTCTCTCTCTCTCTCTCTCTCTCTCTCTCTCTTCACTATGTATTTTCGTATTAAACGCGGAAAAGATAAGCACAAGGATAAAGAACAACGATTAAATATAACTAACACGATTGAATCGGTTTTCCTTTTCATTTTTCTTTTCCCTTCCACATCATCTTTTTCTCTTTTTTTTCTTTTTTCATTTGAAAACTTTAATGTTTTATGTATGCCATGTAAGTATGTATTTATATGTTGGTGGAGGTGGTTATGTTGCGTGTGTGGGAGGTTATGTTGGTGGATGATTTTACGTACTCTGCGGTTTCGGTGCTCTCTTGTTGCACATTTAAACGCGCGAATATTATATAAGTTAAGATTCTAATAATTTATTAAATCGAGTCGTTTAACGTGACACGTCTCTCTCACGGAATATTTTTCTTTCTTTCCCTTTTTTTATTCTTTTTTTTTTTTTTTAACTCTCACCCCCACGTATTGTATTTTTTCTTTTTTTTTTCTTTTCTTTTTAAACTTTTCCTTTTTTTTAGTACTGTATCAGAGAGTATCGATATTATATATATATATTTGTATGTATATATACATATAGATAATATTATGTATTAAATTATACATATATATTAAATATATATATATATATATTATATTTATATATATATATATATAATATAATTGTAGTTCACAATATAATAATTATAATACACCATCCTAAAATACGGTCAAATTACTGCCGCGAGCAGCAATTCCGAGGCACTACGAACAGGCCACAGAGAATATGGCCGCACAATTATCATCATCATCATCATCATCATCTTCTTCAGATCTCTGTGTCTCTAAATGATAAAAGACTAACTGTCGAACGCCTAATATACGTAATCATAATTATACTTATGCATCTCGAGTTATCTAGATATAGATATATCATTATTATTATTATTATTATTATATATTTATATATTTTATATATATATAAACATATATATATGCATATATATATATGTATATATATATATATAGTACACTAATTAGAGAGATCACACGTCTTAATTAGAAATTTAAAAGACTATTCTCTAGTACGTTGAAATAATTGTTTTTTTTTTGTTTACTCATTTTAAGTATTGCCATGAAATGTATATTTTTTATCATCGGTGTGTGGTGGTGAACCATCTTTTTTCTCTTTTTTCTTTCTTTCTTTCTTTCTTTTTTCTCCTTTTTACATATCTCGATTGTTAGTGGACATCTTTTCTTTCTTTATTTATTTTTTTCTTTCTTTCTTTCTTTCTTTCTTTCTTTCTTTCTTAGTCTTCTTTTCACACGTTAACACATCGTGTGACGTCACGTGAGTTCTTTACATGTAAAATATGTGCGTGTATGCTCGTGTATATATATGTGTGTGTGTGTGTGTGTTGTATATATTTGTTGTCAATGATTTGAATATTTCGACGATTTCTACTATCTCTATCAACTATATCCCCTATTTAAATTCTCTTTTCTCTTCTACTCTAAGATGTCTCAGCCTTCTTCCACGTTCCCTCCTCTTTCGTTTGCTTATCTATTATTTTTTTTTTTTCATTTTTTTTTTTTTCATTATCAGCACCAATTCTGATTTTTAAAACTGATTCAAAATATCGTGTCAATTATTAGTTAGAATAATAAGAACCTGTCGTATAAATATACATTCAAATATTACTATTATAATATATAGTATACAAGAGTTGTTGGGTTTTTTACCTCTATCCCTCGAGACCAAAAAATCGTCATCGTTTAAATCGGTCATACCGAAAAAGCTTATGGCTCCGCACGCTTCTATACATGAGTTGTGTATGAATGTATGTAAATTTGTGTGTAATATGTACGTGATTGTAGGATAATCGTATGTATTGGTAGAATGGTAGGTAGGGTGATGGGTTAAGGATGGGGTGTGGGGTTGGTTTGGAATACGTAGTCCTCTTAAATCCTACCTACTCCCTTCTTCGCTTCCGTTCGTCATCCAATCCCCCTTCTTCTTGTCCTCTTGTCCTCTTATGCACTTTTTTTTTTGCACTATTTTTTTTGTGTGTATGTGTATAATTTTTCTTTATCTCTTTCTTTTTTCTTGCTCCTAACAGGTCCTCCCCTCTGACTGATTCACGTATCCTTTTGTACAGTATAACATTCACGCATTCACTCCACCATTCTCGCGCTATTTTAATATATATGTATATATATATATATATATATATATATATATATATATATTTTCTGGTTGCACGATTTTACTCTCTCCCTACTTTTCTCTCTCTCTCTCTCTTTCTCTCTTTCTTTCTCTTTTCCTTTCCTCTCCTCTCTTCCTTTCAAGCAAAACGGCTTTTACATACAAAGAGATATATACAGGAGACGTACGTACGTATTATTGGTCTCGTATGATCGTGTGTGTATCCTTTTTTATTTTTTATTGCAACAATGCAAACCAAATTTATTCTCTCTCTCTCTCTCTTTATATATATATAGATATATATAGTTGTTCGAAACATAGGCAAGTAGAAATATCGATATCATAATCGATAATTGAACATGATGTTCTCAAGCCATTTTGTTTTTTATCACGAGTAGACGACTCTCATGATCAAATGAGTCGAATAGTTTAAGAGTTATTACTGAAAGGAAAGCAAGACGAGACTGCTTTGTTTGTAAATCGGACGATATAAAAAAAATACGTACGGAGGAAGAGACGAGAGTATATTCAATTGTTGGTCATCCTTCTTCTACTAAAAACCGATTTTGGATCGGTTACGAAAGGAAAGGCGATAAGTGAATAGGTGGAACTAGTAGTAGGTAGATAGGTAGGTAGGTAGGTAGGTAGGTAGGTAGGTAGGTAGGTAGATAGGTAGATGATTAAGATAGTCGAGGAAGAGGATCGTAATTAGATCAAGGATTTCCTTTTCTAGATTTTGCTTTTAGATGTTCTTCCTTAGATCCTGTTAGATCGTACGGATAATAGGAAATGAGTTACTGAATCAGTTGCTGTTGTTGTTGCTGTTGTTGTTGCTGTTGTCCGCATCTGTCGACGGAGGTAGTGATGACGTTGTTGGAGGTGGTGGCAATGGTGGTGGAGGCGGTGGCGACGACGGCGGCGACGGTGGTGGCGGCGGAGGCGGATGGCTGCTCAGCCTCGAAGCGATGAGCAAAGGATCGCTGAAAGGACAGCGGTATTCCTGCTTGCTAGTAGGCGGCAGGATGGACGGTTAGTCACTGTGGCGGCAGCCCACTAGGTGGTTTGAACTCGCCAGCCACGGATACCCCGTTCGTCTGACCGGGGAACTGTGCAGTCGATACCGGCGGCTGATGATTGAACGCGGGCGCGTAACACTGTGGAAAGTATAGCTCGGGTTTGACGACAGTTGGTGTGAGGCCGCGCGGTACCGGCACGGGTCCTAAACCGGTAGGCGTACCGGGTGGTTTCGCGTCGCTGCTCGAGTTCCTACGCACCTTCGCCGCATGTGGATTCATATGGTTGTCGATGTGCTTCTTAACCTCCGGCTCCGTAGCGAATCGTCGCCTACAATTTGGCATTGGACAGCAAAATGGCCGGTCACCTTGGTGGGTACGTGTGTGCTGGTCCAATATCGCCTTCTGACGAAAATCCTTGCCGCACTGTTGACACTTGTATGGTTTTTCGCCCGTATGAATGCGCAAATGTTGATTCAAGATTGTACGTTGTCGAAAATTACGACCGCAATAAACGCAACCGTATGGCTTTTCGTTCGTATGTATGCGCAAGTGTTGAGTGAGGTGGGACTGTTGTCTGAACCTCTTGCCACATTCCGGACAGGGATAAGGTCTCGACTCTATGTGTATGCAACCGTGTTGTAAGAGAGTCGATTTTTGTTTAAACTCCTTTTGACAAATCGGACAACGAACGTAAAGTGGCATTCCCGCGGAACGACCGTGTTGTATCACGTCCGGTAGGCAGCCTTTACTACCACCTTGTTGTTTTATATATTGTAATGCGCCAAAACTGCTCGAACCACCGGCACCGAACACTGCATGATTTCCGCCTTTTGGGTCTTTGAAGTATGCCGGATACTGGATGGAATTCGCGTCAGGCGCGGGACTAAACGCACCCGATTGCGTGTCCGTGTCGCCGAAGGTCGACGCTACCTCCTCCTTGCCTTCCTCCGGTGGAAATGGTACATCTTGCGGCCAAAGGGTCGGTGTCATCCCGTTCTTGAAGATAAGATGCGGGCTCACGTCTGAAACGAGAACGTTACCTTCGTCATTTGGACTCGCTCATCTCTCCTATTATCTTAGCGCCCTAGGAACGTTATTCTCCATAAGCGTAACGCGTCGAACCAGAGATCCGATAATATAATTTGCGTTCGTACAAGAAGACAAGAGGCATATGTTAGACAATGGTTAGGAAATATGGATAGGTAGGTAGGTAGGTGTAAATAGGTTTAGGTAGGTAGATAAGGTCGGCAAGGTAGGCAAGGTAGGCAGGTAGGTGGAAATTTAGTAGCTGTGAAGGAATCCGCAAGGATTAGCATAAAGAGCATTCTTTCTCTTCTCCGTTTCGCGGCTCGCTTTTGGTCTGCTCGACGAAAGAAAGAAAGAAAGCAAGAAAGAAAAAAACAAAAAAAAAAACAAAAAGAAAGAAACGAGAAAGAGAGTGAACAAATGAGAGAGAGAGAGAGAGAGAGAGAGAGAAAAAAGAGAGAGAGAGAGATAAAGAATAAGAGATGCAGGGTCGTTAGTCGTCCCGTCGTTAGAAACGATCGTTATTATAAACGTTATGATGGTGTAGCAAAGGTGGATGGGTAGCGACCGTGGGTGGTTGCGACCGTGGATGGACACCCCCGTTTGGGAGTCTGGGAGGCAGAGAGAAATGCTCGCCTTGGTGTGTGCGGACGTGCTGATTCAGGATCGCCTTCTGACGGAAGTGTTTTCCGCACTCCGGACATTGGTATGGCTTCTCACCCGAGTGGATGCGCAGATGCTGGTTGAGGATGGCACGCTGACGGAACGTACGCTCGCAGTATACGCAAGCATAGGGCTTCTCGTTCGCGTGTATGCGCAGGTGCTGCGTCAGATGCGATTGCTGCCTGAACCGCTTCCCGCATTCTGGACATCCGTACGGCCGACTATCCGTATGAATCCGCTCGTGCTGTAGCAGAGTAGACTTTTGCTTAAAGTCCTTGCCGCAGGTGAGACATTTGAAGAGGCGTAGATCGCTGTTAGCGCCTTTCGACGATTTCCCACTTTGTTGTACAATATCGGGTAGACCTGTCGCCATGTTTGGCGCTCCTGGACTCGCGTACTGATGAGCTTCTAGGCCACCGGGTCCGCCATCTCCTTGACCAAGAGACGTAAGCATTACCCCAGGCTGCTTCAAATAATGTAACGCCGAGAAGCCGCCGGGCGTAAGCATGTGTGGCGGTACGGACGGTGACGGATGAGGCCTTGCCTCTTTGAAATAATGTTGTGGATATTGTTGAAGTTCCCCCGCACCTGGAAAGCAATCGCTTCGATCCACCTCGTGTGGCGTTAATTGCTGCTGCGGTGAATGGTCCTGTTGCGACTGTTGCTGCTGTTGTTGTTGTTGCTGCTGCTGTTGTTGTTGAACTTGTTGTTGTTGAACCTGTTGCTGTTGTTGTTGCGTCTGTTGTTGCTGCTGCTGTTGTTGTTGTTGCTGCTGTTGTTGTTGTTGTTGCTGAGAGGTGGTCTGATTCGATTGTATATCGTCCTCGGCCGGGGTTAAGGCTTGAGGCTCGGGAGGTGCCGAGGGATAAGGGGAGGGCACAGGGGAGGCCAACGAGGGCGGAGGACCGTTTTCTCCTTCGACGGGAGGACCACAGGCCTGCTGTGGACTACCAGACGAGGAGGAACCTTGCTGCTGTTGCTGCTGCTGTTGCTGCTGCTGCTGCTGTTGCTGCTGTTGTTGTTGCTGCTGCTGCTGTTGCTGCTGTTGCTGCTGCTGCT